AAAAAACAGAGCCAGGCACAATTATTTACACCTGTCATTCCAATGCTCTGGGAGGCTGAACCAGGAGGATTGCAAGTTTGAGCTCAGCCTAGTCAACTTGGCAAGACCCTGTCTCAAAATTAAAAATTAAAAAAAGGACTGTAGATGTACCTCAGTGTAAAAGCCCTGGGATCCAGAAGGAGCTTAAGGATGTAAGGACCCTATAATGTAATACTTCCTAAAGCAACCAACTACCTTAAAATGGTTTCCACTTGAAGTTTAGCTTGTATCTATGCTCTGACTCAGTTTCTTAATTCCCAAACTTATCTCTGCATGTCACCTACTAGATCTTCATGCCTGCTGTTTCATCAGTCCTTACCTAGTAAACCTGCACACTTCCCTCTTACACGTGTGCCTATTTTTCTTGTAAGAAAGTCTTCAGCCCTGTCTCCACTGACTATTCTAGTGTTTTCCTTCTTTCAGGTTTTTTTTTTTTTGTCATTTAGCTTTACTAACTGGTATTTATTAGCTAACATAAATGGCCCACACCATCAATTCCCTAGAGGTAAGCACCTTTAACCACTCAGATTTTATTTCTTCTGTTGTTTACCTCCTTAAAAAAAAATTGTCACACCTTCACTGCAAGAAAGATAGTCTTTTTAATAAATGGTGTTGTAAAAACTGGCTTTCTACATGCTGAAAACTGAAACTAGGCACATGTCTCATACCGTGCACTAAACTAAAATTGAAATGGATCAAAGATCTAAATATTAAAACAGAAACCCTAAATCCGCTAGAAGAAAGACGAGGTAGAACTCTTGAAGACACTGGTGTAGGCAAAGACTTTATAAACAAAAGCCCAATCTCACAGGAACTATCACAAAGAACCAACAACCAGGATCTCATCATATTAAAATCTTATGGACAGCAAAATAAAATCAGCAACAGAGTGCAGAGACAACCCACAGAGTGAGAAACAATTTTTGCCAGCTATTACTCTAACAAAGGACTGCTATCAACGATACATAAAGAACTCAAAAAAATCAGACTCCCTAAAACTTAAAAGCCCAATCCAAAATTGGGCTTCTGAAATGAATAGACACTTCTCAGATGAAGAAGTAGAAATGGCAAATAAATATATGAAAAATGTTCAACATCACTGGTCATTCAAGAAGTGCAAATTAAAACAATCCTGAGACTCCTCCATCTCCCCCCAAAAAGAATGGCTGTTACCAAGAAATCATCCAATAACAAATGCTGGAGGGGCTGTGGAGAAAAAATAATCTTCTCCACTGTTAGTAGGAGTGTAGACTGGCATGACCACTGTGGAAATCAGAGTGAAGATTCCTCAAAAAGCTAAAACTAGACATTCCATTTAATCCTTCTTGATATCTGCCTGAAAATTTTAAAAGCTTTCTACCACAGCAACATATATACACCTATGTTTATAGCAAAATTTTAGAAATAAGCCAAATGCCCACTGACAATGAATGAATAAAGAAGATGTGTTTTTTTATACAATGGAGTACTAGTCAGTCATAAAGAAGATAAATTTGAGACATTTCTAGGTAAGTAGATGTCCCTTGAGACCATACCCTTAAGTGAAATAAATTGGAGACACATGTTTAAATATTGCATTGTTTCTCTGGTGTGAGAAACCAAAAAAGATAGGTAAGGACCAAAATGTGTAGTAGATATTGTGAAATAGGAATAAAATGTTCAAATGAGAAGGGGAACTAGGGAGGGGGAAGGGGGGAAGGGGGAAGGCAGGAAAGGTAAAGAAAAAAGAATAGAAGGAAAAATGGAACAAAGCTTTTATAAATAAAGAAAGGAAGAAGTTCTGAAGGGAGGGGAAAGGAAGGGGAAAAAAGAAGAATCAAGATATATTATGTGCAGGTACAAGTTCCCATGAGAAA